AAAGTCGGACACAACTAAACGACTAAACAACAACAACAACAAAACTTCAAACTAATCATAATCAGGATTAACTTTCTGAAGGTAAAAGCTGTACGACAGTGGGATGGACTCCCTTGGAAAGTGATGTATTCGCCGCCATTGGAAGTTTTTAAGCAGAGGTTGGATGGCCATTTGTCGTGGATGCTTTAGTCTCTCAGGAACTGGAGACCAACTCCAGATTGTGAATGAAGTGTTCGGATAGCAGAGACTTTAAACAGACCATCAAAGGAAGATCACTATGAACAAGACCAATTTTGACAGTAATAATGTTTGTGATATTCTATCTGTGTTGAATTATTTTCAGATGTCCTTATATGGTTGCTGCAGCAATTATTGCCTGAACTTCTCTCCATTAACGTTTTGCTAACTCTCTTTATGAAAACAGGAATATTTGCTCAGAGACCTTATAGGTGGCAATATCAAGGAAACCACTTCGCTAGGGAGTTTAAGGTAGTAATACTAACCTAAGAAGTAAGTCCCATTGAATTCAGTGAAGATTACTCTCAGGTAAATGGGGTTAGGATTGCAGCCTAAGACTCTAATCCTATATCTATTTGTCTGGGATCATGCTTGTAGTATCATTCAAACCTCCTGCCTGCTTACACAAAACACAAAAACCCTACTTTATGTGTAACAATAAAACTGCATATTAGAATGCTAAAAAGTCATAGTCAAAATTAGGTATATAGACCAGAAAACTGCCATAGCTGGATCAAGGAGTGAGAAGGTACTAAACCTTCCCTTGCAGCTGTTGGTTAATATATTCAGAAAATGCACAAAAAAGAGATGTGAAGAAAAGCATCCTAGGTAAAGAGGAAGTTAAAAGCCAAAAAGTATTCAGATATGCAGTGGTGGTGATGCAAAAATCTATGTTGGAAAGCAAAGTTCAAGGACAAAGCCAACTTGGGAGTTTGGGTGAGATGAGTACTCCTGCGCGTTCAAGATACCTAGAAGAGCCTGACACACACAAAACTCAATCGCAGCCAGTGCATTGTATGTAAGACCCAGAGATGAGTAGTAACATTACAATGAGGAGTGACTCCCCTGCAACCCCATGTCTGTGTGTCGTCCCCCCCCCCAGTGTTACTTTTTAATTTGATTATTTTCTAAAGAGGACAAAGGTTTTATACCCCACCTTGATTAAAATGTGACAGGTCAAGTTACAAATGCTTTACAGGTCTGGTTTGGGCCTATAGGCTGGGCTAAAGAGGGCCAAAACGTATAGAGAAACTTCCTTTTCCAGATACAGGTTTTAATCACTAGTTTAATCAGACTCCCAGTGTGACCTTTCCCTCCAAAGACTTCTCAGAACTCCACAGAAAACTTCTCTTATTTTCCTATCTTCCGACCACAACAAGCGTGTGGGAATCGGAGATCGTGTTGGGTGGCAGCTGTGGGCAAGATGGCACAAAACAAGGGAAGATGGGAGGAGCTGCTTTCCCAATGAGTGGGAAAGTCGCCCAGTTCAAAGGCACAAGGGACCTTTCCACTGGCACTTCTGCTATTAATTAAAATATTTCAGTGGCTTTGAAGGGGGGGGGAGAAGAAGAAAAGGCACTGAACTGGCTGCTCCCCACCAAGATGACATTGTGACTCAGAAAGAAAAGGCACAGAGCTTTCTGTTCCAGCATTGAAGGGCTGCAAGCACATCCGAGCAGAGGCCAGGCTCAGGTGCTAAATGGCTCTCAGGGTCATTCTGCACCACTGTACGATAAATATGTGTTTGCTTCTCATTTGCTCTGCACAGACATTATGTCTCTGCCCCCAATCCAAGGTCAAACTTCTGTTGGCCAAGAATCCAAAGAGCTGCTTCAAGCTCAGACAAGAGGTTTCTGCTAACCTCTTTGAATTCTTAAGGTTTTTCCTTCAAACTTCTGAATTTAAAATCCCTGTCAGTTTTGAAAGCAGCTTGGCGCATAGCACCCAGGGAACTGTGGTGGTGGGACAGGGGGATGCTTGCAGTTTGAGAAAAACAACTCTGGAGCTTCGTTGGGCTCGCGGAACTAGTTGCATGCTTCTTTGGACAAATAAAGCGTACCTCAGAAAATATGACAACTTCCTTCAGACGGTGTGATCACTGCTGTGTGGAATATGCTTCCACAAGTGTTACAGGCACCTGCTTGATATTTTGGTGACGTAACTAGTCACGGGCAAAACACCTCTTCCACCTCAGTCCAGTTTTGTAAATATTTTCCATCTTTTTAAAAAATAATAATAATATGGAGGTTATGCATGTACCTGCTCTATAAATTCCAGGGCTGGAACACACAAGTTTGTTTTTGTTTTTGTTTCTTTACAGAGTGGAAAACTAGGCAGAAATGAAACAAAATAAGCGAAACCCAAGAGTACTACTTCCCCCACAGCAACGCCCCACCATTTGATGATTTTTTTTCATTAACACTTAAAAAACAAACAAACTCTAAAGGCTAAATGCCCCCCCTTCTGGAGAACACATCTAGCCACATCTGGCCTTTAAAAGGAGGCCAACAGTTGCACAGATACCCTCCCTCCCCGATCTGTTAAATGCAGGCAGAGTATAGTGGAAAGGGATTTACAGAAGTATCTCATGAAAGTTAAAATGTACTTTGTGCACACTTTGATTAAGCATGCTGAAGGGGCCTCAAGACAGCAGAAAACACAACTAACCGCTACATCATGCCTGGGCTATGGAGTCACCAGCCATGAACAATAAAAGCACACCCATGCTGTAAAAGTGCGCAGGCCCGACACATCCCCAGGGGTCAAGGAGGCCGAGGCCAATGTAAGCATTGTGGCAACAAACAAAACACTATTAGTAAACCATACAGAGACAGACATGTTTTGGGGGGTAACCTAAGCTTCTTGGCAAGGAGTTGTGAGGCACTGTGTGTCAGAAAGGGGACAGGTCTTGAGCTTGAACGTAGGTAGCCATCGGTATTGGCTCTTTACGCATTCAGTGCTCTGACAGCAGCTGCACTGGTGTCTCGTCCACATGGCCTGGCCAGGAAGTCATGGAATTTGGAAAGCTCCATTATAAACAACTTCAGAAGAGCTCTAATCCTTTCCTAATTCAATATGCCGCCTGAGAGGCTCTGACATACACTACGCAAACCGATTCCTGTTACACTCTGTATGACCTGTCAACCTCCAAATGACCCTTGGTATATCATACCCTGCGAGTGACAGTTTTGGTCTTGCCTCGCTTTTCTTTGGGCAGGAAAGCTACAGTCGGTGAGGTTTGTTGGCTAGGCCCTTTCAGTTCCACTCGGCATTTAGCAAAACAAACCAGAGCTCCGCAGCTAGGTTCAGGCAAAAAGCCTTTTGTGCAAGGAGTTCTTCATCTCCGTCACAGTAAGCCTTCCTAAAAATCAAGAGCACACATTTTCAGGCCTTCCAAAACAGAGACAGACTGTTCGCTTGGCAAGTGCGTGCTCTCATCTGGGGCCCGGAGGCAAGGAGATCAAAAGAAAGGGGGGCAGGGGCAAAACAGAACAGGGTTGCACGGACCCGTAAGAGGGAGGAACTTCAGAGAACTTGCAAAATTACCTCCCCTAGAAGGGGGAAGTGGAGGAAGGTCGCTCCAGTGATCCTCAACATTGATAATTAACACAAGCTTCTTGCACTGCATGAACAGAAAGAAGTGACTGGTATCAAGAGTCAAGATCCAGGTCACAGAGACATGGGAACACAGGGAGTTGCCTTCAAGACCACTGCCCCACCTAGCTCAATATTGTCTACACTGACCGGCAGGGCTCTCCAGCATAGCTGACGGCGGTCTTTCCCAGCCCTGCCTGGGGATTGAACCCAGAACCTTTTGCATGCAAACCACATGCCTACCATTGAGTCACAGCCTTTCCTTAAGATGCACACACCTGGGATGCAGGCATTATGGGGAGCTCACGTTCCCCTTTCCAACGATCCATACCTTCTGAAAAGGGGATCCATATCACAATACTCGAGCACCCTTTTAAAGTGAAGCAATGAGTGCCTGGCGTGCTCTGGTCCATGGGGTCACGAACAGTCAGACACGACTAAACAACAACAATGTTGTCCAATTTGGAAAAGCCTCCAGGAATTCAGTTCATATAAGCAACATTTCCAGTTACCCAAGAATTCGGAGCATGGTGATCGCAATACCACAACAATTCCCACGTCTATCAGGAGGTACACACAACAGTCAGGGAGGGGAAAACCCCCTTTCATGAATCCTTAAACTTGTATAGCTGGAAGGAAACAGCCCAATTCATCAGCATCACCTCCCAGCTTCTGCAATCAAAGTGCTCCGTATGGTCAGTGTTACGAGACAATGAGAAAACGTTTTAATTTTGGATGCAATGGCCTTTCGGAATCTTCCCACAAGAACACTAGTGAACACTGTGGGCATGTGTAGCCCCTTCTCCCTTCTCCTTTTATTTCAGCTGGCTGGCTTCTTTGCTAAATCATTTAATTTTAAGCTGCGCTTATATGCAGACTAACTCCAGAGAAAGCCCCAGTAAGCACAGTGGGCGGAATTCAATGTAGTGCTAAGTAGGGTATGTGTGGGGAATGAAGTCCATTTGTGCAACAAGACTTCCCCTCCCTTCCATGCCCCCCCAAACCTGTTCTGTGGGTTCCCCCAACCCTTCAGAGTAGATTTAGGGGATATGAATATAAGGGAGGGAAGTCCCATTGTGCAAGCTGACCTTATTCTGTGCATGTAACAACTCAGTTGAATTCCACCCAGTGGGGCTTATTTGCTTCACTCACGGCAAAAATGGCCTTGCCAGAAGCACTTACGCTCAACAATGGGAAGCCCTTGTAACATGCCAGGTGCACAAGCAAAGGGAAGCACTTTAGACTCCAACTGCAGATTTTCACCTACCTTTGGCTTAATAGAGACCCACAGGAGGCAATTATTCAGGCTCTTAAAAGCAAAACCAGAGTAGAGGGCATTTTTGTGATAAGAAAAGCAAACTAAACAGGAAGAGGCATACAGCCATTACCTGAAAGAGGGTCAAACTGTCATCATTCAAGACGCATCTGGGAGGTGTAGTAACTAAAGTAAAACACAAAGTTCTCATTAGGAAAAGAGAACAAGAAAAATATATAACGCTCATTTAGCAAAGGGTTGGGGAATGAGAGGGAATAGGGAGGAGGAGAGAGACAGCGGTGCAGTCATAGCTCACTAGCTGTGGCAATTAAAATTAAAAGACCTAGATGGTGACAGTAGGCCTGGAGAACTGACATTAAAAAGTTATAAAACATAAATCTGAACTTACATAGATAGAACGACATCTCTGGATCTGCAAGCTGGCTTTTCACAAAGTTCCTCAGAGCACCAACTGTCAAATAAAGCATGAAAATGGGTGTGTGGATCAAAAGATATATTGTGAGCAGCATTCTCTTTACAGCACTGACCACATCTCCTTTGCTGCACTGCTTAGAAAAGAAAACCAATGTAGTCACTGCCTTAAAGACACATAGAGAGCACAAAGCAAGGGGAGATGTCTTGATCGGTCAGCACCTATTTTAGGTTCACCAAAAGGAAGAGGTTAGCACATCGTAACATCTGTCTATGCTTTCAAGCTTCAGCACTGCACATTCTGCCTCTATAGCTGGAAGTCTCCTCCCCACACTATGAACACCCCAACACTGAGACTTCAGCATCCTTCAATGATGGGGAAAAAATTATCATCCTAATCAAGATCTGGCTTGGCTTCCCCAATGCAAAGTCTCAACAGTATGTTCCAATTCTTCTGCCCAGGAATAAATGAAGAAACTTTCCTTACAAATCTTCCATCTTATAGTAATTGCCAGCACAAACCCGCTCTGCCCCTAGTGAGCAATTCAAAAGGGTTTGCTTCCCTGAAAGGAATAACTGAAGTGGTGTTCAGTTTTGCTATCGGAGACTCGTGCAAACGATTTTTCCAGGCTTTGCTAGACTGAAAGATAGATGGCGTAGCAAGGAACATGGCTGCTTCTAAATGGAGCAAAAACCCAGATTCAACACAAAGCAAAATGTCAGGGGACTGCCATTGGAACAGGGAAGGGAAGCAGAGGGGCAGTTGGGTTACAGGGAACCTCCGAAAATCTTGCGAAGCAGTTCCTCTTCCTGTGGTGGGGAAAGCCACACCTCCAGTGGGGAAGAGGGGAAGGGACCAGAGGATGCTGCTGGGAGCCTCAGCACCGCTCCTGGCCAAGCCAGCCAGGAGGGAAGCACACCTCTTCCTGTGCAGAGGTGTAAAACGCAAAGAAGGAAGGAAAAGGCTGGGGGTGACTAAGCTATTATGTTGGGGGAGGACCCGGAAACGACCACTCCCAGATTCTGCTAGCGATTGAGGCAGACATGAACTTGTGGTTCTGCACTGTAAATAGTTTTGCACCAAAATAAAACCTGTAAAAGACAGGTCGGAGTCCTGACTGATTACTCACGAGCAACCACCATTGCCATCTGACACAAAAGAACGCGCAACACAAACAGTAGTTACCCACGGTCCTATCTGCCTTCTCCGCCCCTCCTTCAATATTCAAATCACTTCCCTCAAAAGGTATAGGCAACAATGGCAGTGTTTAAGTGTTTACAGCAGATAAACCAGCCAGCTATCTGTACAGCACTGTGTAACACCTCCTATCTGGTATGCTCTGCCTGCCCCGACTCAGGATCCTAGGAATACAGGGGCTGACGCACACATCTCACGCCAGCAAGGCAGAAGATTCTGGATCTTACTTTAGTCAGGCCTGTGCAAAAGAACTGTCACTTTAGAGTTCCCTCTCACAAGCCTAAGGCCAAAGGAGGAGCAGAAAATCATGAGGAGGAACGGACATCTAGTTCCATAGATGGGGACAGATGCAAGGCAGAAAGCATAGTTGGGTGTGTGCCCTGCCATGCCGCAGGAAGTTCTAGCCTTTTGCTATTTAGAGGTGCAGGAAGCCTGGTTTTGCTTTTGGCCCCTGGCACATTTAAGAAGAGTGGTTGATTCAACTTCTCTTCAGTGTTTCCAGCTCCTTTTTTGGGCTCTGGTTGAAACTACACTAGACCAACACCCTGTTGTTCAATGGCCTCATCTGGGCATGACTAATGCAGCGGTAAGTGGCCTGGAAGATTTGTCCTCTTTAGAGCACAAATCTCAGCCCTCCTTCATTCAGATCACAGTGCTTGAGTTTCAAGCTTTTAAAGCACCGCCCAAACAAAACAACTAGAGACATTGCAGTGTAGCTATCTCAAGTCACAAACCTTAGCCTGGGAGCAAGGAACTTTTCTCTATTTCACTGCACCTTACTCGGGGGTGAGGCAGAAGCTGGGAAGGAGATACACTCTTACCTGTTTCACTGGGATGGAAGAAGCCCTGCAGAATGTGACGATCTGGGAAGTAAACTCTCAGTACCACCTAGTTGAAAACAAAGAGCAGGAGCCTACTCAAGTCAACCTAAACCATGGTCAAACCACCTCTGCCTTTGGGCAAGACTAGCTCATTCTGAGAAACTGATGCCTTTTCATGAATGAGCAACTGTGACTGGTTGACACTATATATGGGGCTTTCAAGATACTTGAAAGGGCTGTTTTAGAAACCCACACCAACAAGAAGTTGTCAGGAACAACAATGGATAGCTGGGTAGCACGCTAGCTAAGACTGAGTCACGAATCAGGATGCTCCCAGTTCAGATCTTACCTCTGATATTAACTCACTTGGTGACCTTAGGGCAAGACGTTCTCTTTCAGACTCAGCCCCCACCCCCCGGCAACCTCCTGCAATATGGAAATACTAATTATGACACCTTAGCAAACTTTCGGCACACTTAACGCAGGACATAAATGCTAAGTACTATTATAGCTTCATTCCGGGCTCTACCACTGTTCCAAGAGAGCTACTGATCTCAAATTAAAGGAAAGAAATGGGGCAAAGAACCAGGGGAGCAGAACAGGCAGGATTCCCATCAAACCTTCAGGTATAAGAATCCTGCTAAGGGCACCGCTATAACCAGCTAGCCCTGTCTGCCATTCATTTGGTTGTCCCAGAATGTAACAGAAGATGGTTCAATGATGCCAGTCACCTGAAGTCAGTACCTGAGAATTTACCATCCACTAACTACCTTTCTGTTCCTCACTTTGTGAAAGATCCAAAACAAAACATTACCTTTGGATAGCGCTCAAGCTTGTCCTTCAGCTGAGTTTCTCGCTGTGCTCGTGTCATCAAGGGAGATTCTTCCAAACGCTTCCTAGGAAGAGGGGAAGCTTAGCAAGCCAGTATAGTCACAGATCTATACAGCCAAGGGCTGCCACTCCACACAATCTAGTAACTATCTTATCTGCTTAAGCTCCATACATTCTCCTTCCTGCTCTCTACCTCTGTGTATGTTTGTCTAAAACAAAGCACTACTACACACTCCCAAAACAAGATTGCAAAAGAGGCAGATCTGAGAAACACTGCAAGAATATCATTTTAACCAAACAAATCTCAAACATATTTGAAAGTGGCTGAACATTTTTGGTTATGTTCAAATGTTTGCACCAGCACTATACATTTATAACAATTTAAGATTAATGTCTGAAATAATGCATTTTGTAATTTTTACTTAGTTTAGAAAAAAAGTCTGCTGGTAACAGCCTTGCCACATTTCCCCCTTGTGGTGTAGAAAAGAAGTTGTGACAAGCATATAAACTGAAACTATGCAATATGTGCGCTCATATTTTGAAAACTCCTCACACAGGTATCCCCTGTGCAATTTCCAAACTATTCTAAAATCATGGGGAGGTGCAGGGAGAGACTGTACAGTCTTCAAGAAGCTTCAGCCTTAAACAGAAAGCTCAATTCAGCCTTCCCTATGGTGCAACAAATGCCATACCACAATACCAAAGGAATGATTGGAAGTTAAAGAGGGAAGTTTGATTCATTTGACATTTAATTCAAAATGTTGATTCACCAAGACTGATGAGCGGTAAAGGATATACTGTAATCAGAGAAGTTAAAAAACAAAACTGCAGATACAGCTCAGAGGTGTTCTTCCACAGATTTCACAGCTCCACAGTTTAATTGTTTACTTTAAGAGATGACACAACACTTTTCATTTAAATTACTTTACTTCTTCACTTTCTCCAACTATTTAAAAAAAACACAAAACTTTGCAAAGCTTCAAAGAAAACCCCCCAGTGAAACCATACAAATATTCACAAGCTTACGGAAAGATCAAGCTAATCCTTCCATTTGTCCATTAGTCCTTCCATCTAAAAGGGTGTTTTTTTTTTGGGGGGGGGGAATCATGAAAAACATGTATTGAAAAGTATCACAATCCAGACTACCATCACTTGTGTTAACACCATTTGTCTGCTTTGTGACCCCCCCACATTGTTGCACACTCTGTTCACATGCAGGCTTTGTTCCAATTTCTAAAATGGGGCAATCTGTTATCTTTGCGATGGTCAGTAAAGTTTACCTCGTCTTCAGATTTAGTTTTTTTCCTTCCAAAATCCAAGTACAGTATCAGAGAGATCTAATGACAGCCTATGTTATAAATACATAACAGTATTGGGGAGTATATTAGTAATGTGACAACTACGCACGCTCATGTTTATCCCAAATATTATTCAGGAGTGGCAAGGCAACTGTCAAGGGATGGGGAAATGCAGAATCCAACTAGGTCACCCTAGAAGTTTGTGGAAGAACACAAAAATAAAGTTGGCACCGGGCTCATCCCTACTCTTGCTTATATTGCCTGATCCACAATTGGTGCAATCTCCTTTGTTCCTGTGTCTTGTGTAATCCCATTTCGTTGCCACAGCAGATGAAAATTTCAGTTTTAAACTGGAAAATATTGCCACAGTGTAAAAATGAGAGGAAATAGAATTCTGACATGGATTTGCTTTTTGGCTTAGCACCTGATGACTTGCATTGTGATCAAAGGGAACTAAATGGGACTGCCAATATATAAACAAAGAAATCATGAGCTTTGCTGTCCAGTCGTCTATCTTTTTTCCAGTGTTTATAACAGAGGCATCTAGTAGATGACATAAAGTGTATCAAGAATTTCTAAACAACTCTGTGACCTAGACACACTGGCTGGAGGTACTGGAAAGCAATAAGGCTTACGAAACTGAAACATCAACTAGGAAAATAGCAGCCTAGATAAACCTTCAGCCTTGCAGGAGGCAACTATATTTGTCAGCTCCTTAGAACAGAGGTGTGTGCCTGGAATAACTACTACAACCTGATCAACACTCACTAAGAAATTAATGTTTGCCCTTTCTATTAGAAGACACCTTTCCCATGCCTGTAATTTGAGCAAAAAAACAAAAAAACAACAACTTCCCTATCCAATTTCAATGAAATAGTTTCTTTATCATATTACAGCTTCACACTAACTTGGGAGTACACCCACTAAATTCGGAATACTGTACTTTAATTCTTCTAAGCATCATGCTGAGTGGTGTCTGATTTTATGCTAATTTCCTCAGCTCTTAGGGAAATATATTAAAACACCATCCAGGACAGGTGAACGTACTTGATTATGTGGGAAACTATGAGAAAGATTCAAAATCTCAAAGAACGTGGGCGACATTATAGCAGCATATAATTCTCCCAGATATTAGGCCAATGCAGACCCATACTGTGATATGCTTTGTGTCAGCAAGATTGTGAAACAGACTATAGGTGGAATTAGCTGTGTTAGTCCATTGCAGGAAAAATAGGAAAGACACTTGTGGCCACTTAAAGATTAGCAAATGTATTATGCCATAGGCTTTTATGGGCTATAGTCCACCTGAAGTATAATCCTAAATTATAGGAATATACACACACATATGGTGGAGAGAACTATAAATTGTAAGGTCAGAAGGAAGTAAAATGTAGAAAATACAGATGGTGAAAATTCTGTTATTGTCAGTGGCCATCCAGAACATACTACAGATTGAGTGACTGCATCACTAATGAAAAAGAAACTTACCTCTCATTCTGGAGCTGAGACAAACGTTTCCGCACATCATCTACAGTCACCTCAAAGAACTCATCTGGAAGTTCTTGTGAGCCAAAATCCAGTGGCTTCTGTAGATCTGGATGGCACAAAATTGGCTCTCGCTCCAGATGCTGTAAAGAATATAGGAACTGAAGTTCAGATGACTGGATCCAATAAGGCATGGAATCAGCTGAACATATTTGCATATGTACAATTGTGCTTTTTGGGGGTGTCCAGAAAATCCTGCCCAAAAGCATTTGTTCGTTTAACTACAAAAAGGCTTCAGAATTACGGTAACTTTCAGCTTAATCATTCCCCGTGTGAATCTCTTTCCTGGTCTTAAAATAGAAATGGGGAATGATTTTATCTGCTCTGCAATGTGAGGTTAGCTCCCCTGGTTCATACCCCATAAACAAGTACTCCTGTACCTGTAGATGTGCAAACCTTTCTGAAACACAGTTCACTCATTCCACTTACAAGATGGTCTGAAGACTGCTTTCCTTCCCTCCTTCCCACTGTGAAGCCGCTAAGAACAGCTTCAAAGTACAGCACTGGGTAAAGGTGCTTTTAAAATGCTGCGGTAAGTGGTTGCACACAAAGGAACAAACAAAGGGACATTGTATGGAAAAAAAATATGGAAGCCTCCATGTGCTGTTGGGGTAGCCATCTTTTTTACTGTACAAGGTCCCTTTGTGCCTACACAATTACACAGGAAGCAGTGGGCAAAAAGCCTCTTTCTGCAGCATTTTAAAGCATTTTTACCCAGGGCAGCAGAGCAGCTGTGCTTTGAACTAAAGCTGCTAGGAGCCATACTGTAGAAAGAAAGAAAGAAAGAAAGAAAGAAAGAAAGAAAGAAAGAAAGAAAGAAAGAAAGAAAGATCTCATATATATAGTACAGCTGAATCTATGTAATTTTAAAAAATTTAAAAGTTATTTGATTTCATTTCCCCCAAATTATTATTTAAATGCAATCAGTTTTAAAAACCTGCACGACAATAGGACCGACATGTGAAAATGGGATTGGGCAAACTTTCTTAGTTGACACACAATAATATAAGCTTTAATAAGGGCACAAGGCACAAGGCACAGAACACATGGAAGTGCACCACCTCAGAATTCTCGCTTGAATACAATGCCAAAATCTCCTGAAATGTGCACAGCTTTCACACTGGAAAGAAGGCTTCCAATTGAGCTTTTTCATGCAACAGGTTTGCACAATCAAGCAGGTTCTGCTGTTAATTGGGATGGTTTACAAGCAAGTGATCCTCCACTGTGAAAATCAGAGATGATACAAAATGTGCCCTTCTGAGCTTCAGAATTAGTCTGTTAAGTAGCAATCTCTGCATGCTTTATAGCCTGAAAGCTGCTGCCACTCCTCCTTGTCCACATCAGGTATGTTGCCCATGGAGAACTGACTCGTCAAGATTGCTATGGAAAGCCTCCATCAGATTTGGGGAGACAGATTTCACTGAACCCAGCACTGGTGGCTTATAGCAGATTATATAGAGCAGAAGCATCAAGGCTATGCAACTACCGAACAGTGAGCTTGCCATTGATACCACGCTATATGGTTCGACTGGAAGCAGAAAGACTTGGGGCTTGTGGGAGCTGGTTATCAGCTGCACCCCACACACTGGAATAACCTGCATCTGCAAGTACCAATTTACATCAGAATTCCTACAGATTAGAGATTTAAACAGGCAACTTTGTGAAGGATGGAGGGGAAGAGGCTTTGTTGCCACTGCTGATATAGTCTCCCTTTTCAGTTTCCCCTCCATGCATGCATAAGATTCCATTCAGTTGGCAAACAGTCCTGCTAGTTCTGACAGAAAAGAGAAGGTGCTGCACTGCAGAGCTACTGGCTGACACTCTGTAAATCCAGAGCTAAAAAATGATGGCACCACTTGGTCTGTATTGTTAATAGGCTGCTTTGAAGACCAGCATCCTTGACCATCAATGATCTGCTTAGCCTGGCCCCAGACTCCGTGAACTTGGGACGTTCCTATTTATAATCGCCCATACCCCCCACGCTTAATGTCTCTAGCGCATCCCTGTCTGTGCCCTCTTTCCCACCCACACATCCCTGGCCATCTACTGTCCTATCTTATTCTCACTTCTCTGCAGCATCACCACCACCCCTCCCACCCCCGAACAAGCCCTCTGGGAATAGAAGGAGTCTCTCTCAATTGTCAGTAGAGACAACACAAATTACAAGGCAAGATTTTCTCTATTTGTGGGCACCAGAGGGTAATTTGGGAAGTTAAAAGAGTGAGGTTGCGTGGGTGGGACCCTCAGCTACTTTTAGAAAGTTGAAGAGAGTTGGGTCTAACTAGAGGGTGAAGGAGCCTGATTGTAGCTTTCTCTGGGCAGAAAGCACAAGAAGTACCCGTGAGCTGCCAATCTGTCCTCTTTCAAAGACTACTGTCGCCTTACGCTGGCTGTTTAGGGACTGGCAGAAGAAGCAGAATGGGATAAGCAACCGCCTTGTACTGACAGTCTGGGACAGCCGCTAGGATCAATTTACTATAGAGTGATGTAAAAGGGTCCTTTGACACCCCACCTAAAACCTACGGTCCTATTTCCACACCTCTAACCTCTACACTGGAAAGATCCAATCAAAAACTGGTGTGTGTTTGTGTGTGTGGCAAAGACAGCTACTACTCCTAGCAAAGTCTGGAGGAAAAATTAACTCCCACACCACAGATTCCCTATGTGAAGAAGAGAGCCCAGAATCAAGAGCCAGCTAGCATACTGGCGGAAATTCCTGGCTTAATCCGAGAGCACCAAACTACTGCACCGATTACAAGATCACACAAGGTACAGCAGCCTCTCTCAACCTTAGGTCTCCAGAAGTTGTCGGACTACAACTCCTATCACCCCTAACTACTGGTCCTGCTAGCTAGGAATGTTGGGAGTTTTAGTCCAACAGCATCTGGGTACCCAAGGCAGGCTTAAAGTCAAGGTTCATTTGGGATAATATAATGGGACATTTCACAAGTGTCACATCCCTCTTACCACAGTTCTTCTTCCATCCTTTAATGCCCATTTAAAGCTGTGCTTTTATGCTCTACTTCAAGATGGAAGAACTCTTTAAGCCTGGCACACTAACTTCTCCATCACTCCAATATCATTCTCCCATGACAGCACGAAACAAAGTCTGATGATTCCCTGGGAGACACATTTTTGCTCTTTTCCTGGCCTTGCCAGCTCTCGGCAGAACAGAACAACTGGGGGGGGGGCGTGTAGGGAGAGCACTGGGGGCTGGTGGGTCAGATTAGGTCTGCAGGCCAGAGGTTCTCTATGCCTGCTTTAAGATCTTCAGGTTTTTCCCACCAACTCAATACAACTTGCTTGGTATAAAATTCTTCCATAATCTGAACTGTCAACATTTGTCTCTTCTCTCAGCGGCACTGACTGCTCAATAACGGAAGCAAATCCCAGAAGGGCTCTGTCTAGAAACAAGTAATTGACTTGAGGACAGAAACAATGCAACACATTCCTCTCTACAGACTATTAAACAAACCCAGGACATTGGCAACTTCCAGTGTGGCTAGGGAGGGCTGCCAAAAATGGAGACAAAGGGAACAGGACTTTTTGAATACCAAGCCCTTCCAGTAGATCTTCAATATGATGTAATTTACCGCGTCAACTTTCAGCTTCGGGTGTACAGTTGCAACAGAGGGGCTGATGGGCAGCACCTCGACTCTCAACACCATCATCAGCCAATGCCTGGAGGGGCTCCATGGTCTGATCATAGCCTTCAGAGAAGGATGTCAAGAACTAGCTATGATGCTCGCATGCAGGTTGAATGACAAGAGTTCTTCAGTGGTCATTTTGTCTGAGATGATTCTTCAATTCTGGAAACCGCTGCAAAAAATCACTTAAGGGAGTAATAATGTGAAACGACTAGCCCTCTCTTCAGTACGCATTTCCAAACCAAAACTCTCAAGAGATCCTTCGCCAACAGTATTACAGGCCATCCATTAGCCCAGTGCTTTGGCCTTGTCACTCAAACCTACCCTTTACACTCCTACCTATTCCTGCGGTCCGCAGTCAAAAGGGTGGCAGGGATTGCGGTGACGTTAAAGCAAGGTGGTGGGGCAAAGCCAGCTCCTCTCCCACACTGCAGAAGTCTCTGATCTCTAGGGGAATTTGGAGCTAAGCTACCTTCTAATAATTAATGTTTTGACATCAAAGTATGGCTGGTCTGTAAACCATCCCCAGCCCAGAAGTGGAGGGACGCCGGCACAGATTTTATCCAGCCTCTTCCATCAAATCCAAAAAACCACACACAGGCACAACATTAATGGGAAGATTCTTTTGCTAAAATGGACCTTTGATGTTTAAAAATAATTTGTTTTGTTTTGGGGTTTTTTTCTTCTTCCCCCTCTGGACTGAAAAGGGACAAAAAGCAGATGCCACGCGGCCAGCCCCATTCTGGAGCTGCTGATGAGAGCAAGGCAAGGGAATGGAAGGAATGGAGGAGGGAGTGCAACGCAATCAATCAGCGGCAGAGGCACCCGAGATCAAAGGGCCTGAAAGCAGCCGTCAGAGTCGCACGCTGTTTAGCAGGAGGGAGGGAAGCCTCCAACAGAACCTGCAGCTGCTCCCGAGACACCGCTCCATCGGCCCTGCTTTCCAACCTTTTTGGCATGTTGATCCACAAGTCCAATTTACTTGGTATGCATGGTGACCCACAGATTTGTTGTCACATGAATATAAGGACCTCAGGTCTTTGGCAGCCATCCATTTCGTGCATTTTTAATGGCAGGTTTGCCTAACACGTAATCGTTACTCGAGCTGTCTGGGCAAAAAATTAGCTTCACATCCCTATTAATGTTGAATCTGTTCAAATATTACTCACTTACAAAGTTGTTCTTATTTTGCTTATGGGAATATAAGGACACCAAGCATCTGATTGCAGAATGTTGCTTTGTAAATTAATAATTTCCTCTAAAACATACCGTTATACGAGTTTGTTGAACAGGAGGTTTCCTTAGCTACAGGCAAAACCATGTAAGAAGAGTTAAGGCTGGCTTCAATCAAAGTATCAGAACTGAACAAAACTAGCCAACCCTTCAGCTGCATCCTCAAGAATTAAATCATGGTCCTTTTCTAGTCCCGGATGCCAGCAAGGTAGGGCAGCATTCAGTGACACACTCAAGAACCAGAGGTCACAAAGGACCACACAGTTATGAGTGCTCATAGGTATGTATTACCTTGCCAGGGAAACGTTTGCTCTCTGTATCAGAAGCTACACAGGGGGAAAGACCGAGGGCAAATTATATCCTGAGAACATCAGAAAGTTATGCTTAGACTGGGGCAGGGGGAAGGATTGGCTCAATTTCCCTAAAATTTCACTGCTGTTTCACTTACTGTTCCTAATCATTTTCTTTACTCATCTCTCTTGGCTAGCTCAGTCAAAAGGGTCACAAGAGACCAAAACTTCAGGAATTCCACAACAGGAAGGTTTCAGAAGAAAAATGTAGCAAAGTCAATTAAACTATAATAAACCAGAGGATAATAGCAGTTGCTGCAACACGACTCTCATTTCTGGAGGACAACCCCAATAAGATCTCAGGGTTACTTCCCCCTCCTGATGCATTTGGATGCTAGAAAAGCTGTGAAGCAGCAGAAGTCCTGCTGAGTTAAGGAAGTCAAAGAACCTCTCAACTATGGAATCCATTCAGAGAACAGGAGACAACACCAGAGGAAGCTTTAGTAAATCAAGATCCATTCCAGTTTCAGCAGAAGAGTGCAACTAGCTTCATAGTCTTCTGCCACTGGTTGTGAATGTACAGTTCAGTTTCTGTGCTTAATCCTTCAGTCTGCACAGCAAATCCCTAAGATCTGTGCTGCACTTTTGACTCAGCCCTGTCACTTTCACCTAACTTCACTGGTTCCTAACAACTTGGATTTCAAATGCACCAGATAAGGGCTATAAATTCCCGCTTTCCCACCAACTTCTTCCACTTTGACTCTTAATACATCAGGTCAAGCAGGCCGAAGATCAAACTCTGCCCAAACTATGTGATGTTCGTCAACATCAGAGGTTGTAGGCCAGAGGTTTACTGTAGGATTACGGGAGTGGAACTCTAACAAGCTTCCTCCATCTCTTCAAAAGCCAGTGCTAAAGGAGGACAAGCAAAGAGAAAATCCCGCCTCCCCAGAACACTGTAAGAAAGCCAAACCACTACCTCTTTTTGTCCCTTTAGCTTTTCTGGACTGTTTTTTAGCTTCTTTGGCTTGGAAGGCCCTCCAGGACTGGATAGAGATGTTGATAGGTTTGGCGATGGCACATCCAATACAGAAGAGCCACCACTCAGACGTTGGCCACCACCTACAAAAGGGACAAATGGGGAAGGCATCGAAGGAGAATGGCAGGTCACTGAGCTGCTCTGAGATTCTGCACTCCTGTCCTGCTTATCGGTGCTATTGCTGGCAAACACAGCCTCATCGCTGCAGGTTGAAGTTGCTGGGGAGGCAGCTGTATGTGGCACAGGCAGACCCCCTGGCTCTTCGCTGGAAGGTGACCTTGCTGTCAAATCTTCAGAAGGATATTCACCACTTCCAGCTTCTGCGTGGCCAGAGGTGGTGGACTTCTTTTTGACCACCCTAGACATAAAGGGAAAGAGTGAAGCAGTCGCTGACAGTGGAAATGTTGACTTTTTTCTTACTCACAAACAGCTCAGGCTAAACAAGTTCCCCAAGTCATTTCCTCAAGAAAGGAACAAACAACAACTTCGAAAACTCTGGGCACATAACACTCCACAGAAGCAATGCCTAAAAATAAATGCCACTCTTTACATGAACAAAAGCGGGCATTTTGTCCCAGGGGCTCCAATTTTGGGACGATAAGATCTGGACAAGCAGGAGTAGGTTAAAAAGTTGCAGATCACAATGCAAGTTCACTGAGCCTCTTATAGGAAAAGAGACCAGCCCTACCCACTATCCCCCCATTTTGAACAGTTGCATAATGGACAAAGAGGAAAACGAGTCAGAGCCTACGGCTAATAAAAGTGACCTGGACTAACAGAACACAAATCACAACATACAGATTTATTAATTAACAAGAGTATCCCTATCTTGCAGTCCAGAAAGTAGGTCAGGAGACATACGTATGTACACACATACTGTACACAGGAAAAATATCACTCCCCTACAGAAACTATGTGGTCAGCCCACTGCAGGAAAGCTAGAATCAGTCTTTTCCTTTAATGATGAAATGGCTCGCAGAACGATAATGAGAAAGGAGCAACACCACATGTCCCAGGCTAAGGGTGTGTGACTAAGGTAAATACTGGAAGACCTAATCAAGGGTTTGAGTGTCATGCCTGAAATTTTAATTTCAGATACTAAGGTGTTGCATTCTCCAATACCTGTAGCTGCATGGAAGAGGCAGAAATGCCGCCGCCACCACTAACCCCCCAAATTAGTTCACAAATAGTCAGTGTTGTATGTTTTAAGAGCTAAAAGACAGCAAACTCAAAATGAACAACTTCAGATTCATGTTAAAAAGTACAATCAGCAATCAGCAAGATGGGAAGACTAAGTTTTTCACTGCCGGCAAAAGGAAAAAAGCAAGAGAGCCAGGAAAAACTCACAGGGATATACAATATGGCTACTGGTGTTAAGAAAGCCCTGCCCTACATCCTTATCAATCTCATCTCATGTGAAGCTAGTCCTGTCTTGCTTATCTCTATTTATAGGGAGGGGTGTATATGTCAGGGATTGGGAACCAGATGTTTTAGAGACCACATCTCCCACCATCCCTGACCACTGGCACTGCTGGCTGGGGTTGATGGGAATTGGAGCTCGACCACATCTGGAGGGCAACAGGTGACCAATTTCCTGGTGCAGGAGAACATATTCAGGAACCAGTGAAGGCAAACTTTTCCAGCCAGCTGGAATGCTGCAAAACATGGATATATGGTCTGCTAGAAGCAGTTAAAGGTTCTGCTCAGAGTTTCACAGTGCTTCCTCCTGAGTGAAGCAGACAAGCCATTATGAAGAAATTCCTCCCAGCAAAATTGGGGGGTAAGTGGCAGCAGCTGCAGCTACAGAAAGTATATCTAAGCAGCTGTTTCCTAAAAAGGAAAATCCAATCATTATCAAGTACCACAAATATTGGTCTCTGGACATTTCCTTAAATGCATCCCTTATGCAAAATAAATAAATAAATAAAGAGGGAAGCAAAGCGCACTAATAGGGAAGACAGTTTGTTCTTTCTCCCAACCTGATGATAGCATTGCCTCCTGTCAGACCAAGCGACTTCAGACTTGTCTTCTCCAAAGCAGTTTTCCCAGTTACCTGCAAAAGAGATGAAGGCAGACACGCTTCTCAGTTATGAAGAGGCTCAACGCTCAGAACTGACACCGAGGAATAATTTGAGGGCTACCTCACATACTCTGTCATACTTGTAAGCTGCTTTATGCTATTTTAAATGTGTTGAGCGTGGAGTCAGGGAAGCTTTGCAGGCATAAAAGGTCCCATGTCCAGTTCTTGGCATCTCCAATTGAAGAGGGATGGGGAACCCATGACCAGATGTTGCCCCAGCCAGCATGGCCGACAGAGATGATGGGAGTGCAGCAACATCTGCAGGGCCACAGGTTTGCTACCCTTGAAAGAAAGGATTATTGGGTCGTAAGATTCAGAAAGGCAGGTGTTGCTTGAGGCATTGGGTGCCACTGCCAGTCAGAGTAGACAAATCTGGGTTGAATGAACTACTGTTCTGGCTTGGTATTAAACAACTTCCCAAATTCATGTTCAAGGGGGCAACTTCTCATCCAGAAGGAAGCTCAGAAAAAATAAACTGCCTCCGCCACCCACCCTGCAAGGGCAAACAACCACCCTGTGCCCTTGCAAGATGGCAGAATCATCGTCAACCCCCTCTTAGTCTCAGCATACGGGTGATCTATGCAGACCCAGGGGAAGGATATTGTTTATTTATTTGGGGGAGGGGGAGCCTCCAGAATGCTGACATATAAAGTATTAAACAAAAACAAAAATGCTGCAGAGATCAAAACATGGAAAAAGCAAATATTTATTAAAATGAAACCACTGTTGTGACTCTTGAGCTTTAAAAGAACTTAAAAAAACACACAGACAGGTCATTGAGAATGTTTTATGGGCTCAGAGGCTTGTGCCGAGCGACCCGTGATTATGTTCCAGCAGAGGTTTTTTTTTTCTCCCCCACACAAACACGTCAAGCTTTGAAGAGACCAAAGCTCTTCCATTTCCCTTCTTCAGCAAGCCCAGAGATGGAACACATTTTCCAGGCTGGAAAGCTGTGCAGGGTATATTTTGTTATTTTCAGTGGCAGATGAAGGGGGATGGCTGAGAAGAGGGTTTGTTGACTTACCTCATCTCGCATGTAAATACAGACGGGGGAGGTCTCACAGGGCTGCTCCACGTATACCCTGCAAGGGAAAGGGAAAGCAGGCATGCCCTATTAAGATAATTCTATGCTGGCTTCAAGCCCATTGGAAAAGCAACCTGTCTGACCCAAATCCAAAATATATAGATCTATATCTTGTGAGATTTTCCAAGTCTGTCCCAATCCAAATATCCTATGGATGTGGATATTCCAAGCCCAGTCTACATCTATCAGTATTAACGCTCAATTTGCAAACCACTATTTTCTCTCAAGTTTTTCTTGGGGGGGGGTTGCTTCAGAAAAGAGTCATACTGAAACCAACTGTATTACACAGCATCAGGGAATGAATCTTAAAGCACAGCATACAACCTGACTCAGCTTGCAAAAAAGTCCAATTCAGGTTGGTCTTCAAGTGTTGGGTCCTAAAGGTAAAGGACCCTTGACCATTAGGTCCAATCTTGACTGACTCTGGGGTTGTGGTGCTCATCTCGCTTTATTGGCCGAGCGAGCCGGCGTACAGCTTCCGGGTCATGTGGCCAGCAGGACTAAGCCGCTTCTGGCGAACCAGAGCAGTGCACAGAAACACCGTTTACCTTCCTGCCGGAGTGGTACCTATTTATCTACTTGTACTTTGACGTGCTTTCGAACTGCTAGGTTGGCAGGAGCAGGGACCGAGCAACAGGAGCTCACCCCGTCGCGGGGATTCGAACCGCCGACCTTCTAATCGGCAAGTGCTAGGCTCTGTGGTTTAACACACAGCACCACCCGCTTCCTAATCTGGGCCAAAAGACAGTTTCCCTCGAGCCACACACCTTACATCAGGTGCTGGACAGGCAAAGACCTGGAGGAACATTGGGAGCCTTAATGTGCACTGCCTATTGTTCCTTGGCAAATGGGACTTGTATTCAGTGCCTTTTAAATTTGGTGCTCAATGCAAGTCCCACTGGGATTCGCTCAACTCAAGTCGAGCTGACCCCTACTGAAAGCGGAGCTTGCAGCTGACTGGCGGTGTCTGCAAACCCTGCTTTCGGCAGGGATCTTCCTTTGCAGCCCCACTTGAGTTCAAGCCAGAAAGAAAGAAAGAAAAGAAATGGTAGCGCACTGTGGAGTACTCTCCCAATCCTTTTCTTTGAGGTTGGGTCCTTATCCAATTGCATGGTGGCATCAAGTGACCACCTGGTGAGTGGCTCTGCACACAAGAGAGCCAGTGTGGTGTAGTGGTTAAGAGCAGTAGTCTCGTAATCTGGTGAACTGGGTTTGCGTCTCTGCTCCTCCACATGAAGCTGCTGGGTAACCTTGGGCCAGTCACACTTCTCTGAAGTCTCTCAGCCTCACTCACCTCACAGAGTGTTTGTTGTGGGGTAGGAAGGGAAAGGAGAATGTTAGCCGCTTTGAGACTCCTTAGGGTAGTGATAAAGTGGGATATCAAATCCAAACTCCTCCAAATCCAAAATAAGGAGGGTGCCTTTTATCATATGTGGTGGGAATGTAGTATTATCCAAAAAAAAAAAAAAAAGGGGGGGGGAGATGATACATAACGAACTGAAAAATGACGTTTGTTAAAAAACCAGAAGTGTTTTTACTAGGTATTTCTGATCAAGGACTGCCAAAAGAGAAATTGAAAATATTCGTGTACGCAACAACAGCGGCAAGAATCCTAACAGCACAAAACTGGAAGACTGGAGAAATACCTCTGAAAGCACAATGGCAGGAAAAATTGATGAACTACATGGAATTAGCAAAGCTAATGGATAAGCTACATGAAAAAGACAATAGTGATTTAGAAAAAGAATGGGGACCTTTCATAAACTATCTGAAGAAACAACTGAAAGAAATGGACTCGGTGGCAGGATTTGAATAAAGATTCACAACTTTACTTAACAAAATGCATGAGGAATAACACTGTAATAACATTTTGACAGATAAGGAATAGCAGATTGTATCATTTAATGTAACAAGCCAGAGGGGGAAGCTGAAAGAAGTCAATGGGAAGCGGGGGGAAATGTAGAATGTATGTTTGGAAATGATTTTGATACTTCTTGTTAGAAAAGAAAACTAATAAAAATTAGATACAAAAGAAAGAAAGAACGAAAACTTGTAAGGCTGAGCTTCAGGGGTCAGCTGTGTGCCTACACACAAGTCTCCTCTAGATAACTTCCCTCAGTTTTTGCAAAGAGGGAGGAGCTAGTTGAAACCACTCTATGGCTGCCACAGTGCAGTTTACGTTTCCCTTAGGAAATGAAAGGGCCAAAGAAAGAAATGTACAAAAATGGGGGAGGCAGGAGGAGGAGGATGGAAAGGAAAGAGAAAGATGGAAGGAGACATCAAGGACGGAGAATGGAGGAAGGACATTGCAGCAGGCACTACGGTAGTGTTGGAGAATGTTACGCTGATGTCTGGGTGCATTTTAGTGAATCTGGTGGTTTCATAATCTCTGGATTGTTTATTGTTCAAACAGGGGCGTATAGCTGTGGCTATGGGTACAGTGGCACCTCTAGTTGCGGACACGATCCGTTCCGGGGTGCCGTTCGCACCCTGAAAAGTCCGCAACTAGAGCGGTGCTTCTGCAACTCAGCAGTAACATCTAGACCAGGGGTATGCAACCCGTGGCTCCGGAGCCGCATGTGGCTCTTTTACACCTTTGCCGCGGCTCCAGGGCGGATACTAGCGAGGGGAGGAGGCACATTGTGCGCCCCGACACTCCCCACTGTGGCGGGCGCTGTACTGGCTGTGACGTCGCATGGGGGTGGTGCGTGCGTTAGTCACGCACCGTCCCGACGTCACCTTCCCGTCCGCTGTCAGATCGCGGCTCCGGAGATATATTTGTTTTAAATGTCGCAATGGTTTTGCAGCTCCCCGTTTTTTTCTCTTCAGAAACGGGTCCAAGTGGCTCTTTTTGTCTTAAAGGTTGCAGACCCCTGATCTAGACCAAAGGAGCGTTCCAGCCCTGTTCTTGAGTTTGTTTAAAATCATTTAAGGTTTATGATTTCTCTATCACCTTCTGAGGAAACTGAATAGTTCAGTGAAATGAGGTTTGTAGACGGCATCCCATTAAGGCTTTGTTCAATTCTAGGTTTTTCTAATTTTTTCCTTAAACTTTTTGATTTATGTTATTTAGTTTAATTCCATAAGATAATATTTCTAGTAGATTACTTCTCGTTTCAGGGATTTTCATGGTATTTTATTTGTTTTGTGTAATTTCTCGATTCCGTGACTGTCTTTTTTCGATTGTTATCTGAATATATTAGAAGCTGATAAAGCTTTTCTCCATGATATTAAGGGGAGGGCCTTTGTGGTGGTAGTACCCTGAATATTAAATTCTCTCCTCATTGAGGCTTGCCTCGTGGTACCTATATTAAAGTCCTTTCAGCAAAAATGAACACCTTTTTATTCTCCCAGGCATTTTAGAAGTTCATTTTTTTTTACATTGGACCAGATTCCTTCTGCTTAGGTTTTAAATAATATTTGTTTGTTCTGTTGTTTAGGCAGGAAACTATTTTATTTAATATTTTAATTAATATGTAAGTGTTTATTGTCTTAACTGTGTGAACTACCAGAAGACATAGTTGACTGAGTGGCTAATAAATATTCTAAATAAATATTATTAAAATATTCATTTGTTGATTTCTGTGTGCGGTAGCAACTGATATTGAAAGGAAGGCCGTGTGTGTGTGTGTGTGTGTGTGTGTGTGTTTTGGTTGGTTAGCAACCCTGCTGTAGAAAAAAGGTGTAGATAGAGCTAAAGGCTAAGACAAATTAGTAGGCCTAAAGGTACTCCCAGCATTTGTGAATATGCTTTGCACCCCTGCCTACAGGATACTTGCCTGTGGAAGAAGGCTATTGCTGCTAACAAATTTATACAAAAGGAATAGAGAAAAGTATATCCAAAACCCAGCAAGAAGACTTCATTCCAAACTCCAACTCAATTCCTGTTTAGGATTGAATCAGGCCTAGGGAAGATGGAATGTTGCTCTTTCCTGAAGCAGAATCTGTCGTGCCCAAGTTCAGTTTAGAATTATGAGATTTCAGGCACCAAACAAAAATACTTGGTCGAGACAGGAAAATAAGAGTGCCTCAAAGGCATTCTATGTTACATTCACCAGCACCACAAAATGAATGGTTAGCACTGAAAGGCTGAAAGGAAAGGACCAACAAGATTTAAGCCTAGTGGGACTGGATTTTAAGAAGGTTTTCTTTTTGGAAGGGTGGGCAGGAATTAGTAGAATAGCACACCTCCTTATATTCACACCTCCTATATAAAGTCATGTGGCAAATGTCCTAAATAATAACCAGTAGTTCATTCTCCAAGAAGACAGCAACTGCCAACAAGACACATAATGGACCATATTGTAGACTCCCATTAGTATCCAACAAAAAAATGGGTTTTATAAGGAAGTTCCCAATCTTTGTAGAGATGTCTCTTCAAACTCTCTCACCGCCTTCCACCTCCGTTCAGCTACATGGTTAAAGCAAAATAATTCTACCCACAATTTTTTCCAGCAGTGGGGGAAGAATAGTGTGCAGCAGCCCAGTTCACTCAAATGGAGAAAACCATTTCCTGTTTGACCAGTAAGCATTTGGTGAAGCAGAAAAAGCGTCATGCAACATTAAGGGTTGAGTGGTACCTAACCAATATTTCCAATGCAGAACGTGTTTCATGTTGGCAGATGTGAAGCTATGCTCCTGCAAAAGGAGAAGAATGACACATGCCTAAACTACAGGCTTTGGAAACTGGAACTTACTCAGGACAGTTCTACAATAACAGTTCTTAACAGTAAATGTCAAGGTCAAGCTCAAAAGAGCACCCTGCCAATGACAAACCTGTGAGCACAGAAGAGGAGCTGCAGGATTCCTAAAAAGCCTTCTCTCTGAGCATGACATTTGTGTAATAATCAATTTCATTCTATAGAAGCAGTGCAAATCAGAAAGGTGAGCTAAGGATAAGGTCACACAGCAGAATTTTCTTCAGGATGCTTTAAATAACCTGCTGCTAATGGAACCCTTGGAGTTGCTTGTGTCACTGCTAACTATTCCAATGTTTAG